CGAAATGGTAGTTATAATTCACGATTTTTGTGATCTTAATCGACGTTTAATGAAAAAACTTGATGTTATTATATATTATATATAACAACTTTATTTAAATAATAACATATAACATATTATTATTAAAAAAGGGTTATAGAAGGGAGGAACTTAATCCTCATTGTAAACTATACCCCAGATATAAAAATTTAATACTATGCAATATACATATACATACTGAAACATTTTAGATACAGGCATATATCTATATAAATATAAAATCTAAATAAAGAAGACATATCTAAGATAACTATTTTGTTTAAGATTATAACTAAATAATGTATAATACATAGAATAATTTAATTTTTAGTCATAGGCCTAGTTAAAAAATGTTGATTTAAGAGCTTTCTTAAAAGCATTAATTGAGTCAAGTTCAACTACTGATGACGGTAAACTGTTCCATGTGTCGATATGTCTGTGCCAAAAAGAGTACATAAAGATGTCTGTACGGCTAAATGGTTTATATAGTTTAAACTGATGACTTTTTCTTGATTGCCTGTTACTGAAGGATATGTAATTATTAGTGTTTACAGAAGAGTGTCCTTTAATGAACTTAAAAAGCTGAACCCAAATTATGAAGGGTTTCAGGAACACGATAGCTTAGTTACCTACCTTCTGAAGTTGCAGTGATAAGATGTCACCCGAGAAAAACACAGATACCATGTAAGACCTCTTTCGCGAAAAAAACCAATCAAGTTCGTCGACTAAAACTTATTCAGACGTTTCGCTTGAACAATCTTGCACAAAAAGAAATGGGTGCCGTATTTGTGAATCGCATTCTGTTGGTCTTCATCAGGCGATAAGGTCGACTGGTTGGGGTGTTGTTATAAGGCAGGATGCTCTGCTGTAATTGATTGGTTTTTTTTTTTCCACAGCTGTAATTGGCGCATTTCGATCCTCGATGTTAGCGAGTTAAGTTTTACATAGTAGATAATATCTCAGAGCCAACATATCTGATCCAGATAATCTCTAGAAATGTTGGAATTTGTTCAAATTTTATTTAATAGTGACTGTATGAGCGTGGTTTTTTTTGCAACTCTTGCCCCACTTCTTGTCTCCCATAAGAACATCTGTGTAGATATATAGATTATCCGAAGTGGCAAATTACGTCACACCTGACACGTCTTGTCCGCAGGAAGAAGAAGGTTGAAATATGTTGCGATCGAAATTTCCTGTATTGAGCAGAATGTAATTTTATATCTGACATCAGCTTGAATTCCAATTTTTTTCTTGAGCCACGCGCAACGTAAAATTTCTAAGGCCGTCACGCGCTTGCCAAGCGCTTTTTTCATATGAATTTAGTTTCCAGCACATGCGCATGTAGCTGAGAAAATAGGCAGGGTTTTTCTTTGGCAACTTAACGTAGTCATACTGCAAAGATATGAACTCAGTCATTACACAATGTGCACTAAAGAAGAAGTTATGTAGCGAGAGAAAGGAAATGATGCAGATTTAGGGCTAAACTATTTCCCGCTAACTGCACTTAGTTTTCTGATCCGTTAAAGGTTGATGATCAACTTCAAAAACTCACGAAAACTCACATTGAACAGGTGATATAATGAAAAACCAAATATATATTTGTATATATTTTTTTAACCTGAAAAATTCTGTAGTTCATTTGCATTCTTACACTTGCACGAATATATTTCTGAATTATTCCTGCCGGCGAAGTCAATATTATACGGGCCTAAAACAGGCACTTTTATCTTTTGATGGATCGATGATTGTTGTCTATGTTCGGGTGCACCTGGATGAACAGATGGCATATTTGCGCTAGTTTCCGGTGGACATAACATTTACTCCCAAACAACAACTACCTGTAAAAGAGGAACCTGATTAGTTTTGAGTTGTTTAAAAACTTGTTTTAACCACCCATTTTCATCTTCACGTTGACAAAACTTTAGCTCGACGAAACTGTTTTCATGTCGTGAATCACTTGTATTTGTTAAATAAAACAGCATACTGCATCTGTTGGCAAGAGATTTTTCTCTTTGGTCCGTTTACGAGTGGAAAAATTGAACTTTCGCGGGTTATGTCGGCAAAAAACGGTCGAATGTGATGTTTATCCTCACGTCCTGCAGAATAGTTTGAAAAACGTTGTCTAAAATCTGCCACTCTTGTGATTTTATTATAAGACCATTATAAGGGTGTCGACATATACCAACGGCAACTTCTGATTGAGTGAGTTGTTGGGTGATGTGATGAGTGGGATAAAATCCAGCAAAATGTCCAGAGCCCTGTCTTTACGTTGTGCGCTGAGTAAGTACAAGCTTTACTACTTCTCTTGATTATGCTTTAGAAATAAAGAAGATGATGAATTAAAAATGAATTAGGAAATGAATGATAGGATATCAATATGTCGGTATCGTGGCATCCTGCAGCACTCGGCCGCTTCAAACCAAAGAGAAGCAAGTCAAGTGGCAAGTATTCATCTCTCTAATAACAAAACGATTGAATTAGACAACGTCTGCTCTTGAGTTTAATCCCATAAAACTACTGGCTGAAAGCGGAGTTTGCAATTTTTTAATACAGTTTTTGCTACGAAACGATCGAAAATAATTTGAAAACAACTGACCAGCACGACACAATCCTGAAGTTTTAAAAATTAATTGTATGTTATTGTTATTCATAATTGCTCTGTTTTAACGGTCCACACGCGATCACAAAGATCAAAGAAAATGAAATCTCAGTTATACTCCCGTCTGTAGCTAACTTGAGGTTCTTGGTTCGATAAAGCATCAGTTGTTCCAATCGTGCAAAAAAAAAAACAAAACAAAACAAGAAAACAAGAAGAGAAAGAGACAAAAAAATGTGGGAAAGTTAAAGCTTGGAGTGTCACTCGAGTCCACTATATAATTCCTTTCTATATATGGCATAAATTATGATGCCAAGTTTCCACAAGGAACCTAACAAACATGATGCGGCCGGTTTTATCTTGCATTTTCCCATTCATTCCAGTTCCTGGTACCTAAACTTTCTTTTTAGCATTTTGGAATATTGGTATGGAATTAAACAATTAAACGTGGAATTAATTCCTTTTCAGTAGAGAAAACAAAAGCCTTGTGGTATTTATTTTTTCCATTGTCTTCGTGCCCTTTTGTTTCTCAATGAAGTCGCCGTGTACATTTCAGTTTATAAGTCTAGATTACCTATGGAGGACTTTAAAAACTTAAAATTGTGTTAATCGTTAAATTAACTCATCCTTGTTATTTAAGGACGCAACTGGCATAGTTGTGTACTCAGGGACTACATTGATTTGCAATTCGTATTTTCCATCCAAGTTTTATTCTTGTTATTATTTTATGTAATTTTTTCATTTTATTTATTTTCTCTTTCACTGAATTATGTACTTGTTTTTTCTTCATGTCAGATATCTTAAAACAAATAATAACCCCACTGCCTTAAAAATGCACTTGTATATATCTTCCCAAAAAATATTTGATCGTTTTCCGAGGACAAAACATTTTTAAAATTAGAAATATATATTTAATTGATACTTGACCTTTGAACGATTATAATAATAATAATAATAATAATAATAATAATAAAAAATGACAAAAAAATCCTCAAAGGTTAGCGAACATCAAAGAGGTTGCAGAAAAACAAAACTGGCCACAAGGTAATTCCTTTTGTGTAAGTACTCTCTTAGGGACTTATTTACTGTTATCTTTCAGCCTCCAGGAAACCAAATTGTTTCTAAGGAGATAAATAAACTGTAAAATTTTTGCAATATATCTCAATATCTTGACGTCGATGACGTTTTCTTCGTGACTTTTCAGTGTTCGTTGGCAGTGCTCGACCGTACCAAGGAAAAAGTTTGCCTCTTTTTCTGTTACGGCGGGAAAACAATCAAACTCGTTGAATTAGCGCTAGAATCACAACAGGGGAATATCACTAGGAATTTGCCATTCTTAGTTAGGGTCTGTTCGGTCACTTAACGTTTTACCTCAAGTCTTCATGTATCTTCATATATCTTAGACATGTAATAAGTTTTGTTCAGCTGGATGGGAAATTGCAGAAATGCTACATTTCAAAAATTTTTCTTTCAACTCCCTAGGGAAGTTAACAAAATTCATGGGTGTATGATAAAGAGCATGTAAGAAATGAAATGTATTAGTACTGGTCTACTTCGAAATCTTACTAACTTTTTCATTGTTTCAAATGTTATTCTTGAGACAACAATCAATTTATTTGCTCAATTTCTCTCCAACAGTCATCCTTTATTTGATGATGGAAATATCAGGAACAGGTGAGGCAGTGTCATCCCAATTTCATATTTGTGCACCTTAAAATGAACTGGAAAAAAATAGATAATACCTGACTGATTTATCATAATAATTAGTCATAGAATTCCTGTTAGAACTATATCTGTTTGAGATTCAAAACGTAATTGGAAAACAAAACAAAAAAATTAAAAGAATAAAGGTGCTATTACCTGATCTCCCTAATGTCCATCTTTAAAATCTATCCTAATTCTATTTTTTCCTTCAGTGAGACTTGGTGGATACTTTCTCGTCTCCATCATTAGAGTTATCATTACTGTTATCGTCAGTACTTTTTTTTTCATTCGTTTTTTCATTCATTTACTTTTTCTCACAGAGTGCCAAGCAACTTGTTTCAAAAACTCCTTTTACACATTTTCGAAAAGCGGAAGAGAGAATGTTTACAACTGGTTTGACTGCTTGTTCCAGGGAGGTTCCTTAGTCTCTATCGAAACTGAAGAAGAATGGCAATTTATCAATCATGAGATTCAAAAGCGTGGCACTTCGAATACTAGTGCATGGCACATTGGTTTACGGAAGAGAGGCGGGGTTTGGACTTGGGAAAGTGGAAAAAAACTGAATATTTCGAAATGGCGAGATTCTGAGCCAGATGGTAACGGCACGTGCACGGAAATATCCAAGAATGGAGGCCTCTTTAATGGTATCCCTTGCTCTTATAAAAACGCCTTCATTTGCGAGATGCCCGGAGGTAAGATCACATTCCAACCATAAAGTTTATTATGTGCTGAAACATTACAGTCTTACACTTTTGTCATGAAAATTGTTCTTGCTTCTTGAAAATAAAAATAATGTTCACAGAATATGCTCAGCTCACCTAACTTGTACGCGTGAGCTATGAACAAACTTTTAAGCGCACATTAGTAAATGACCACAATGCCATGAAGATTTCTAGGACACGTGTTACGAAAAATAATTTGATCACTCTAGAACTGTCCTATTTTGCATCGCCTGCAGCTGGAAAAGCAGCGATCGAAATTGTACATTTCACAATTTTTGTCGAGCGCGCTGAGATTGGGATAATCTAGCCAACGGAATTTTACCTTGCTACAAGTAACAAGGGGTGTTCACTGAGGTCAGTAAGTGAATCCATGTTCTCTAGAACATAACGCATCGAAGTATTGGTTGGTGTGTCTCCTGTACGAGTCTGTGATAAATCCGTAATTCACCGGGTGAGAGGTCTGTGTTGTGTCAGCTCAACGAGGAAAAAATTGATATCTACAAACTCGACTACCAAAACTACATGAACTCACAGATAATCTTAGCTGATGTGAAGTTAGCTAATTCAGAAAAGCAGGTCAGAGATGGCTAACGCCGTAGAGAAGAAAGATATATTGTTTTCATCGGCACTGATCAAACATAAACTGCAGATGTTAAAAATACAGAAATCAAATAAAAGTCGTGTTTTCTATCTCATTTTTTTATCCTTTATTGTGATTATGATTATGATCTTTTCATGTTATCATCGTTATTATAATTATCGATTTCTTTATCATCACTATGATAATTGATATTTTTGTTTCCATTTTTATCATTTTGTAGAATGCCCGAATTTAACTTTTAAACACTCTTCGTACATAATTTCGTTAAGTGGAGAGTCCTGGCGCTCGAACAGAGGTGCTTGCCAAAGACAAGGAGGGGACCTAGTTTCCATTGAAACCGAAGAGGAATGGAATTTCATCAATAACGAGATTCAAAAGCGGAATGCTACGCACTATCAAAATAAACGGAGTGTTGGTTTAAAAAAAATGGCCGGAAATTGGACCTGGGTGAGTGGAAGACCGCTGATTATTTGCAAATGGGGACAAGGGGAGCCAAGTGGTAAATACGACGCGGCTTTCATATACAAGCGGTCCAGTAATGGCGAACGGGGCGTGTTTGGTAGTGCTGATAGTAGAATTAAGGAAAACTGGCTCGCTTTTGTTTGTGAGATTTCGAAGAGTACGTTTTTTGTTTTGTTTTTGTTTGTTTATATATATATATATATATATGAAGTGTTAAATTTTGACTTTCGTAAAACAGTGTGCAATACGTAGGAGTAGAGCGATGTATATATTGTGGAACGAAAAAGACAAATTACCTACAAGTTCATCCCTACAGACCTGTTTCGTGGTTGCCCACTCATTAGGCCAAATCAATAGACAGATAGACAGATTAGATATATATATATATATATATATATATATATATATATATATATATATATTCCAATTGCTTTGTTAGATAATAACGCGTGGTGATGTGAAGTGGGTTATCTTTCGTAAATTACTAACGTATGCAATTACAGCTGTAGGCTGACATTAATGAAATACGAGTAGTCGAAAGAGTAGAATTTAAAAAATAAGAGGTTTAAAAACGAATTGAAAATAACTTTTCTCTTGAATTTTACATGCTTACCAGAAGATTTTGACACGTTAGAGAAAAATCGGTGGGGTAAACAGTATTATATGACGACATCAAGAGAAGATGTAAGAGAAGCGCATACTATTCTGACGTGTTGTTTCGCTGACCATTGCACCATCTATCCATGGAGAAACTCGTTTGCCGTCGTTTCTTTCGATTTTGGCCCATTTTCTAAAACCAGAGAACCGTGACGCACTAAAAAATAGCATTTCAACCATTACAGACATCATACATGTCATCGGAAGAAGAAAATATTTTGTATCCTGGACAATCCGTTCAAAACATCAGGAACATCTACTTAGGTTTTCTGACCGCTGATTAGCATGCGTGTTGATCTCCCTAGGTTCCAGACCCTATCAGTTCCCCCTTCCCCCTCCGCCCTCCCCTGGGGTGATTGCTGATTTTTCTTTCAATTTTAAAACAGCTCTAAATGGTTCCCAATGCCTACATTTATTATACATTGAGGGTTTGGTGAAAACAAACGGTAAAAAGTTCTACCATGTCAACGACATAACAAAACAATTTTAAACAGAGTTAAACTTATAACAACAGAAACTCGCTTTTTCTGTAACTAATCTAAGTTTGCTTGTTTTTAGTTGGCAAAAGAATTGACCTTGTGGCGGTCATTTCCGGTGGCGCAGAAGTAACAAGAGGACTCCTCAGAAACATCACATTGAATGCTTCTCTGTCATATGACCCAGAAGTTGCACATGGCAACCGATTAGGAATGAAATTCACCTGGCATTATGACAAAGTCGCAGGAAATCCCTCCAGCAAAAAAACGGAGGCGAAAGTGGAGAAAGATGTCTTCACGGCAGTAAACGAGTCTGCCATTCATTATTATGTAAAAGCATCTGGCGAACAAATTTCCTTAAACGCCAAAGCTTTGTCTGTTAATCAGACCTACATAGTTAAATTGGTAGTGACTAAGGACAGACGTATTTCCACCGTTTATCAAGTTATCCATATGATAGAAGGAGACCCCCCAGAAATATATCAAAGGTTAGGGATTTACTTTGTTTGCTTCTGTTGTTATTTAGTTTGTTTGGTTTGTTTTACCGTTGGTTTTGTTGCCGTTGTTAACACTTACATTTGTTCTTGACCCTGCTATTTCTCTTTATTTTCGCTAATGATGCTTCTGTCGTCCAATGTTTTGTTTCTGATTTTGTTATTTTTCGTTGTTTCTGCTTCCGTCGTTCTATATACTTTGTTGTTGCTGTTAATGATAATGTTGTTTTCATTGTCGTTATGGTTATTACTGTTGTTGTAGCTACTTCATTAGCAGTTGTTCATATCAATGTGAATTAAATTGCAGCCACTGCCACAGTTGTTCTTCTTAATTACATGATCTCATCAGACAAAGGAAGTTCAAAACCCCTTCTTCACAAGGTGTTCGTCTAATCTTTCTTCTTAATTTTAGATGTTTCTTTAACTGTCAACCTAAAGTGAGTCCCTTCGTCAAACTTAGTATCAAATCACAATGTCGCGGATTACAGAGCTCTAAAATATCATCTTATGAGTGGAGACTCTACCAGCAGTTCAAGCGAAACACCTCCTTTACTTGGCAAAGGAAACATAATTTACGACTCGTCACAAGTACACCACTGAATTCAAGTGACATTGTTATCAAAGGAGGTTCCCTTACTGGTGGAAATATGTACCGCTTGGCACTATTCATAACAATTACGGACGGTCTAAGGGGAATGAATGCTTACGATTTTTCTACAGCAATACCTCCTACAGGAGGGAACTGCTCGATCACTCCGCCAAGCGGCATCTCACTGAAGACCGATTTCAATCTGAGCTGTAGCAACTGGAGAAGTGACAACACCCCTCTGTCGTACCTGTTTCAGTACAGGCTAGAGAACGGGTTGTACAGTGTGTTATATCGTGGCGTTAACAACAACATAAGTACCTCATGGATACCGCCTGGGAACAATACAGATAATTTTACTGTCAAAGTTATCGCTACAGTGACTGACAATTTTGGAATTTCTACCTCCCTAATCTCTTTGACAGTTCAGGTAAGTCGCTATTAATGTCTACCATGAAAGGATGTGAGAAAATTTTTATTTCTTTTGGTCCCTATTAGTAATAGATCAGTTATAGTTAATTATAGATACCTGCTTTTGACTTTTGCAGATCAAGCCATCTCAGAACAGAAGCCTTCTAATGGCAAAGGGCAGTACATTTCAGAAATTCATCGAGATCGGACACCTGAAAGAAGCGGCGCTAATAGCAAACTCATTCCTGCGATCAGTTTCACAAGAAACCTCAATGGGTTTTCAGGAGAGATACAAGGTACGTACTTTTAAAACGCAAGTTGTTCCTTAAAAAGTGAAACAAAACTAGTTAATTACGATCGTACCCGAAAAGTAAAGAGTTTACCGAGAGCTAAACATGCAAAAAAAAAAAAAAAGAATAAAGAATTTGTATTAAGAAATATAATTATAATGATGATAATAATAATAATAATGATAATAATAAATCAACTCTCGAAAACGGACAAATATAATACATTAAATATATGAACATATTTTTGAGAAAAATAGAGGCTTGTCTGTCAAATAGCTGATATTTTTGCAGCGCGAAAGTCGTGGCTACCGCGTTAGATGTTCACTTTCCATTATTCTGGCGGGCTCATTGTGTAAGCAAACAATTCCGTCTTCCGTTGTGACGAGTAAAGAAGGCTCTAGAGCCTTGAATTAAATCTCAAACTAAGACTTACAACGTCTTGAAAATGAGGCTTCAAATTTTGTTTCAAGGGCGGAAATCGCCAGGCAATCCATTATTTCAGCTTGGACATTATCGGTGTTTTGATGCATGCGAATCAATCATGCGCTTGCAAATTTATCATTTTGATGGGTTTTATTAGCAATGTCATTGAGGAACCTGATACGTTGAGTTTAAGTATGCCTTTAGATGTATTATCCTTGGAACGAGCCTAATATGAGGGATACAGTCTGTTTCCCTATTTCTCTACTGGATTAAATAACGTTAAGCTTTATCGTTGTTCAAGGTTATGAACTACATCCTTGAAAACATTTCGCCCTTGGACGCGAAAACTGCCACAGACCTCCTCCGAAAATCTTCGGTTATCGATTCTGCTCTTCAGGTTCTGCAGGAAGTGCCCCACCAGTCTCTGGTAAGTGATGTACTGATTTGAGCTGGAATAGCCTTGGTTCTTATGTCAAGTTTTCATACCATGATACTATTTAGCCAGAAAGGCTACTGAAGCAACAAAAATAACAACAACAGCAAAGACGAAGAAAACGGAAACAAATAAGCATGAAAAACAAGCAACTGTTGTGTTATCAAATGAATCAATCTATATTTTTGTACTTACTTTAAATAATTCGCCACAAATTATTTCTACAAAGTTCACTGGAAAGAAATCTGAAAGTAAGCATTTTTAGCTTCATTTATATTTATTTGCACTCCACAGAATTTCTCCTTATCTGCTATCAGTTCAATGACGTCACTCCTATGGTCTATCGCCCAGAAACGAGACGTAGCAGACATATCGCTGACAAAGCAATCAGCAGAAAACTTGGCTTCGTGTCTTAATACCGTGTTGAAGGTAGCAGCAGTGACTGCATCAGAAGACTCCAAGTCAAGTTTTCAACAACAGGTACTTTAATGTACATTTAGGTGATGTCCAAGATTCTACAAATTAAATAGACCTTTGAAAACGTAATTATACATGCAAGCATAATCATTAGACTTTATTCATTGGCAAATGGTCCATAGCAGATTGCTGTTAATTTAACCGTTACTCCCTTCTTCATTTAGATTTTGAACCTTTTATGGTTTGTTTTTATGTATGTTTGTTTTAAGCTTGCGAAAATCCATAATTTGCTTACATGATATGGTTATTTATGCAATTTGTACAGGGTAAACTACTGGTGAAGATTTCAATGAAGACCCTCGAGAAAGTTGCAGACTCAGTGTTGGCCTTGACAGTACATGATGAAAGAACGATATCATTCACGGCAGGACAACTATCCATGACACTCGGAAGATATAGCCTTCATAGACTTTCAGGACTGAAAATAAAAGCAGGAAAAGGCCGGTTTATTTTACCGTCTAAAAGCCAATTGTTACTCTCTGGAGTAAACAAAACAAGTTTTGTAAATGTTCAGGTAAGTATTCCTGCCCTTCAGGCAAATTTCAATCCAAGTTTTTTTTTGCTGATACCGACACCAGTCAAGTTAAAATAGCACTTAAAGGTTGCTTATTACCTCCAGCAATCATATTTCTTGTTTTGCTTTTGACGTGTTCAACTCTGGCACTTGCGCAGCAAAAAAGATCGAGTCATGTGACCGAAGAGACCACATTAATGTTATTTATTTTTCGTTGTTTCTCAAATATATTCTCAGTTTTATTTTTATCTCAACTAATGATAACTTATGATTAATAGTAAGAAGAATTACCATGTTAACGTGTTCAATTATAGCAGTCCACAAAAACGAACAAGCAAAATTCTTAATTATTCTTCTTTTAGATGTTCTCATTTTCTTTCAATCCTTACACTTGGGACGCCACAAAGGAGCGAGTTGGCTCTGATGTTGTAACCCTGCTCTTGAAAAACAACGATAGCGAGCTTATTAAAGTATCAAATCTTACGGAAGGCATTGTTATCGTTACGCCTTTAAAACTTCAGAAAATCTCTGCTTCAGAAAAGTCATGGTATTTCACAAAGAACGATGATCTACGTTTCCACGAGATAAACGTCAAGTATGAAAACACCCTGCTGATGCTGGAAATCAAACCTCAAGATCCAACTGTACATCTGTTTGTCTATATGCGGTTTAGTCAGCGACCGACAACTCAAAACTACGACTTCAATGCTACTATCTCTTACGACAAAAAGTGTGTTTGGATGATAAGTGCTCATAACAAAAGTGAAGGGCAAACAGTTTGCTCCTTGAATCCACATGCACCGATACACGTTCTGGCTGAGCGTCCCGGGAAGTACTTCCTCGGCTTAAAAAATTACAATGCCACAGTGAACTTATCTCATAAAAGGGAGAAAAGATCTTGTCTTGGTGGAAGGCGAAGGAAGCGCTCCTGCGTCGAAGTCAAAGATCCACCACCCACCCCACCCCAGACTGAAAAGGTCTCTGTGATACCAGTCTATGATTCCAAAACAGACCAGAACTTCACTCTAAAAGTGGCCTTAGCTAGTTGTGTTTACTGGTCAGAAAAATTTGACAAGTGGATATCATCTGGCTGTCGGGTAAGTGAAAAGTTAAGAGACGATTTTCAGGACAATCTTTTTTTTTATAATTTGACACTGTATTCGACAAAGTTCAGATGATTTGAGCTTTCCCGAGTATTGTTTGCAAAAGCACTGTCGTCTTGTGCTAGTCTTAACTCATTAAGCTTATTATTGAATTCAGGCTAATCTTTGACTAGACAAAAGTCGAATTGATTTGATAACCAGCTGGGGCCTAGAAGCGCCTTTAAACACAAAAGATACAGTGTGATCAGTGTTGACAGCTAAAATGATAATTTTTATTGTTAACATCTTCCTTGTATTTTATAATTTCAGGTTTTAGCAGAATTAAATGGATTTTTAAAATGTAGCTGTAGCCATTTGACATCATTTGGGGGAAGTCTCTTAGTCGAACCGAATCCTATTGACTTCGACAAGGTTCTAGTCGAGTTTCAGCAGTTATCAGAAACTGGAAATATTGCAGTAATCGTAGCTATTGCGGTGGTTTTATTGTGTTATATGACTGTGCTTGTTGTCGTAAGGAAATTCGACAAGGAAGACGCGAAAAATGTAAGTGTCGAACTAGATTTTGCTTAGGACCATTGTTTTAACAGAGCATGCTCTCCAGTATAACCCTTTCTCTTTCATGATCTGGTCGTCAATTCTCTCCTCCGGTTGCCATACATCTTTTTTTTTTTGTTAAAAAGTCATGAAAAGTTGCTAATAGATCAAGATAACAACTTCTCCCTGATAAATTTGAATATTCTCATAACCTCATTACCTGGATAATGTGCGGACATTTTTGGGAGAAGTTACATGTTGATAATCTCTGGGAGTTAAACGGTTTAAATAAAAAAGGTTTTAATGTTGACAACATAATTAGTTTTAAAGGTTTTTTGAGATTGAAATTTTAACTTGAAACTGCGTTGAGCATATCCTTGAAAAAAAATAATGTTTAAAAGTGAAGTGACAGCTAATTAAATTAAACTGTTAACAAAGTTTACGGGTTTTTTTTCTCTTTTTGGAATGGGACAAAAAGGCGAATTAAGAATACAAATTAGCTAGCTGTGTTAAGAACTCATGGTTTATCATGTTTTTCTAGAGGGAATTACCGATCCAACTTCCATCATCTTCAAGCAGCACCTATGAATACGTTATAGTGATTACCACAGGGGCTTGGAAAAACTCCAGCACGACTGCTCATGTTGCTTTGGAGATCTACGGTTCTGAAGGAAAGAGTGGTATTCTTCAGCTTAGCCAAGAAGAGCCTGGTGCAGTTCAAACGTTATTCTCTCGAGGTAATTCAGATGTTTTTGTACTTTATGTTAACAAATCCCTTGGTTCGATTCAAGAATTACAGATTGGACATGATAATTTTGGAGATAATCCCTCGTGGTACCTGGAGGAAATTGTCATTCGGGACGTACAATCCAAGCAGTCGTGGAAATTCATGGCCAATCAGTGGTTTGCTCTTGAGCGCGGAGACGGGCGCATCGAGCGAATAATCGACAAGACCTCAAATCATCTGGACTTTGGCGATGAAGTTGCAAGACGTTGGCGAAGAGGCCTCGCGGAGTGGCACATTTGGATTTCAGTGGCAGCCAAGCTAAGAAAAAGCCGCTTTACAAGAGCGGAGCGGCTTTCTTGCTGCCTTTCAGTACTTTTGACATCCATGTTTGCTAACGCGATGTTCTATAAGTTAGAGGGCAAATATGAACAGCCTATCCAAGTCGGACCGCTGAAAATGTCGTGGAGACAAGTGGTGACTGGAATTGAAAGCGCGCTCCTTGTGACGCCCATAAACATTGTCATAGTGTTTCTGTTTCAGAAAGGAGCTGAAAAGTCTGCGACGAACAATGACCATTATCTCAAAGGTACCCTGATCTCTGGTGTCGCTTGGTGTTTGTTATGTTTTTCTTGTACTGTTTCGGCTGCGTTTTCAATTTTCTACAGTCTAATTTGGGAAAAGAGTGTCAGTGAGCAGTGGCTGTCTTCGATGCTTATTTCATTCGCACAGGATGTAACAATCAAGGAACCAGTAAAAGTGTTCTTCACAGCTTTAACATTCGCGGCCATTTTAAAGATAAAGGCGAGGAGATCAAAAGTACACGCCTGCGAAGGCCCTCAGCAAGTTAAAACTGGGTACCATAAGAAACATTTTTGGGCACTGAAATTATCAGAGGTGGAAGAGATGAGGAGACGACAAGTTAAGAAACAGAACCTGGCACGTTATTTCACAGAGTTGGGTTTATACTTGGTCTTTGTTTTCTTGCTTATGGCAGTGTGTTATGGAAACAGAAATGACCATCGTTACTTAATGACGAAATCAATCCGAGATGGACTACCAAACTTTGACAAGGTGAGTAGACATTATTTCGTTACGATAATTCCATTGCTAAAACTCGCGTGTTAAAGCGGCTACCTCATACAAACATACTATTTAAGGGGTTGGGTACCATGGGAATGAGCACGTGGGAATAATAGTCTACAGCATGCCCATAAATACTAACTCGTTTGTGTGACTTAAACCGGTTCTACTCATCTATTCATCTATGCATACTATACTGCTGTACTTAAAAGTACATATATATATATATATATGTATATATATATTTCTATTTATTCATTTATTTATTTATTTATTCATTTATTTAACCCAATGATCTTCTGATAATCCAGGTGACAAACAATACAATGTACTGGAACTGGTTACAGCGTGTTTTCATCCCGGGAGTGTTTTCTGGCAGATGGTATAACGGTCGAAACGAAGAGCAAACAATCTATATTGGTAATAAACACTCTCTTCTTGTCGGAATGGCTCGAGTAAGGCAACTCAGAGTGAAAGCGAGTAAGTTTTTCCATTCTTACTTTTTTTGCATTTCAGAGCTGCTGAACATTGTAACAATTGTCTAAAGAAGTGTTTACATAGCTAGGTTTTGTATATGAACGTTAGTTAAATTTGGGTTTTAATGGTGGCGTTCCTTTGTTCCGTAGGCAAATGCTACTTTGAATGATAATAACAGAAATGCCCATGTCTATTTAAAAGTACGAAATTTGACAAATCTCTGAGTGAAATGGATACCAAAACAAACCTTCTGATTATGGCCATTTGTTTTCTAACTTTCAGCTCAATGCAAAGTCCTAAATTATATGGAAACATCGTTCCAAGAATGTTTCAAGGGATACTCTACAGAGAACGAAGACAAGACCGCCTACAGCAAACCTGGCTGGAGGCCTGTCGACAATGCTTCGAGGAATGACAAGTTATTACTACTTTGCCCGCAGCCATGGCGATATCAACATGCCAAGAAAACCGACACTACACCCAGGTGGGGACAGTTCTCCTTTTATGATGGAGGAGGAGGATTTGTAGCAGACCTCGGTTATGATAACCATACGGGATTCAGCATAATAACAAGTTTACAGAACAACGGTTGGCTTGACAGAAAAACGAGAGTTGTCCTGGCAGAGTTTTCGGCATTCAATCCGTCGGTGAATATTTTAGGTGTTGCCACATACTTCTATGAAGTTGATACATCTGGACTGATAGCAGCCTCCATGCAAACTCGTGTTCTTTCACTTGATTCTACGGGAACACCCTCGCATCAGTTTTATTTGATTTGCTTGTTTCTGTACATTGTATTTGTTTTACTGTATTTTGTTAGAGAAATTTTCAGGCTTTACAATCATCGTTTTCGATATTTCAAGCTCATGTGGAATTGGATCGAGATATTCCAAATTGTCTTCTCTCTGATTGCCGTAGTGATGTACATAATACGACAAAGTAAAGTCATGTCAACCATGGGCAAACTGCATAGAAACATTTACGAAAATCTAAGTTTCCAAGAAGCTATCACTTGCCAAGAAGTGGAAAATGTCGTAATTGGAATTCTTACTTTCATCGTCACCATCAAGTTATTGCGGATCATTCGCTTCAACAACTATGTTGTTCTATTCTCCAAAACATTGAAGATATCTGCACGATATTTGTCATCCTTTAGCATCGTTTTATCCATTTTCTTTGTGGCATTTTTGCACTTCGGTGTCTTGATGTTTGGCTCTGTAACTGAGCGCTACTCTACAGTTCTGAAAGGAGCTTATTTCCAACTCTAGCTAACTCTTGGTCGAGTGAAAGCTAGACCAATCAATGAATTGGCACAGGCTAACACCATATACGCCAAAATATTCGCCTTCCTAATTCTCTTCACTCTGACCATTCTCTGTATGAACTTCTTTATCGGCATAATCAACGATGCTCTTTTGGATGCTAAGAACAACGTGAGCGAAAGTGAACTGTATGAACTTATCGATGAGAACCGTTTCTCGAGCTCAAAAGAAAGAACAAAGTTTTTCGATGCAATCAGTAATACATTGAAACAGTCGAGAACCTCCAAAACGTTGGCAGAAGTGAAGGACAAAGAATTAGGAAACGTTGGCGTTGACCCCAAGAACAGTTCCAATCTCAACTTTGATTTAACAAGTCAAACTGTCGTAGCTTGGGGGAAGAAAAGATCTAGAGAAACAATAGATAAACAGCAATGCAGTACAGGGAGACAAGCATTGTTCGACAAGATAAGCAACATGTTAAGATCTCTGAAAAGTAAAAGCAATGACGACTGCAGCAAACGTAGAGAAAAAAAGAAAGTAAGATTTCTAGAGGATGTCGTCGAATCTTCCCTCCGTAAATTACGGAGGAGACAGCATGACCTGTTACAGCGGCTGGAGAGTATTGTTTCAGGTTTCACAACGGAAGACGAAGAATTTGATTATTTATTAAAAACAGCAGAGGCTCATAACCACTAGGTTGAGAAAGAGTCAAAAGAAAAGGTGAAAGGAAGTAAAACAACTCATCTAAAATCAATTAAAATAACAGATAGTTAAGCGTAAATCATCTCGCACACACAAAGCAACAGCAGGGATTCCCCAGCTTGTCGTGTCATTGTGGCAAGTAACAAAAAACAGGAAAAAAACTCAGAAAGTTATTTATTTCACATTATCTCGGAGGAAGAACCTCTATTAAACTTTTCTTTGGAGCCTATCGATTGTATATAAATATGGTTCGTATTCAACAACGAAAAAATATAAACTCCTTCATATCATTGAAAACAGAGTAACACTAGGAAAGTATTGTTATGTTATATATTCCGCCTGCAATATTTTGCTGCAAAAAGATGTAACGATGTAGACGAATATGTTCGAGCCTCGATGATTTGAAAGATTTTAAAAGTGACATTTGTATTTGAGACTTTCGTAATACTTGCTGTGAATACTATTGATCATTTTATTGTTAAGCAACAAGTAACTTTACTTATCTTTTTTTAATATATTTTATTGGTTTTATTTATTGCAATTGAATTACGAAATTGAATTAATGTTTTCAATGAATGAAACTTACTTATTTACTCACTTAGACAGTTTCTTTCTTCGGAGAAACTAGCACCACTATGCTACTCTAAAATTCCAACCGAAATAAAGTTATGTATATATGTATAGAGGATTGGAATTTTGCTGGTCTCGAGCGTAATCACTCACTCTACTCCTTCCCACCCTCCCCCCCCTCCCTCGTGCTTGTTTAAGTTTCCACGAAAGAGACACTGGAATAATGTCATAATGGTAGAATAGGTTTGGTTTCGCGCATTTTTCGATCTTTTATTTTATTTATTTATTTATTTTTTAATTTGGGTACGATGCAGATTGATTTGAACACGACTAGCCACATAATCTTTCAGCGTCGACAAATTGCCAAGCGGTTTTATCTGAAATTCTCTAGTCCTCCCTTTGTACTTTGTTGGTGAAGTACGATTCCCCCCCCCTTTCCCATGGGATCCCGCCCTAATACCCCTCCCCCCTAGTAAGTAAGTAAATGACTGATCCCGATTAGGAGCATTCCACACGTCCTCGAGAACTTAAATGATTTCATTAATAGGTAATTTAGTGTTAACAACTGGGTTGAAAACGTAAATTAGCCACCGTAAAGGGTAAAAAAGCTAAAAAAGCTGACGTTTCGAGCGTTAGCCCTTCGTCAGAGCGATTAATCAATTAATCCAATCCCTCTGACGAAGGGCTAAAGTATTCCTAAAGCTAAATCTGTTGACCAGTCACCGTTGCGTAGACATACCAATTGATATTCCGTTCGATGATAAAGTGGGCAGTGTAAGTAAATCCCAAGGTGTGATAGAGTTAACCATAGCGCACTAATTAAAGGCGAGCCGCATTGTTATTAAAGCGTTTTTCCAATTCTCGTGAACAGCGATATTTTAATTTGACTCAATAGACGACTAACAAACTCCTGTCGGTTAAAACGTTACGTGAATTATCGAAATAGTTTCATGTCGAACAGGCGTTTTATAACCTTCGATAAGGCGGCCTTTTTTTTTTTCCTTTTACCTTTTTTTGAGTGCCAAATGTGGCAGTAAGGGGTTATAAATAGCAGTGCTTAATCAGCGACTTACCTGTGATCTGGTGAACTTTTTTTACGCTAACTTACTCAGATGGCTAACTTACTCTTGCGTGGGGCCCTGTAAAAGAGAATAAACAGCGCAAAAAAATGGCTTAATCATTTGAGATCATTCTTAGCAGTGCAATACCTGACTCACTCGTTTTACTTCACATATGCACTGTTATACTCCGCTGATTATTTTTTTATTATTATTTTTTATGACTCAATAACTACATAGAAGTTAATCTTCCTTGTTTCCAAAAAGAGTAGAAGAATAAAGGGGTAAATATGACTTTCATATGTAAACTACATGACTTTCATATATTCACAGTCGTATAAGAACTAAGGGATTACAAAAACATCGAGAGAAAAACAAAGAGTCAAGCGCCCGCCTAAAACAGGTTTACGCCTGAGGGAACAAGCTAATTATTCGTATTTGGATCCGTCTTGATTACAAAAAGGTATAGTTTTGTTCAATCCATTTAGTTGATGATAACTACTTTCGAATTAACTTGTCGAAGCGCGCGAGACCATGTGTCGCCGCATTCTGTGCGATGGCAAGCAAGCTCAAAGCTTGTTGATTTCTTGCGATATAGAAATTAAATAAAAAGGACTATATCATTCGGCTAAACATTCATCTAAGGCTCACATGTCCTTTCCGTTGAACACCTAAGAAAGGTTTGTCGGCGTAACATATGTTGCAACTAGTACGAGCTTTTTCAAGGCTGGAATAAAAAGCAATTTAAGAAAGAGAAGATAATTGAACAGAAACTTCGTAATTCCAATCGCAATATTTACTATACAAACAAAATCGTGTAAAACCTGCGCTTTTTACCTGGAAACGGCTTTTATTACTATTATTATCATAATTATCATTTTCATTATCATCATCATCATCATACCTATCAATATTATCATCAAGCTTATCATTATTACTATTATTATATTTTTTCATATCCTTGAGAAAAAGTCGCCCGAAAAGGCAATTTCTTTTTTCTTAACATCATCCTCTCTCCATTATCCTTTTTGTTTTGGTCAGAAAAATGGCACATATTCGAGTCCCACAATTTATGTTTGGATAATTTTGAATACACATTTGTGGAATACCAACCTGAAGTGTATTTATTATTCATTTAGTGAAGAACATCTTCGAGCCAACATATCAGATCCAGACTATGGCTGCGAATTTGTTCAAATTTTATGAAACAACAACTTTAATAACGTAATTTTTTACAATTCTTGCCCGTATTGAAATTTGTTGCGATCAAAATTTCCTGTATTGGGCAGAATGAAATTTTATATCTGACAACAGCCTCAATTCCATATTTTTTGTTGAGCCACGTGCAACGTAAAATTTCTTTCCTAACGAATTTAGTTTCCAGCACACGCGCATGTAGCTGGAAAAATAGGTAGGGTTTTTCTCTGGCAGCTCAACGTAATCATACTGCAAAGATATGAACTACGCGATGTGCACTAAAGAAGAAGTTATGTAGCGAGAGAATTGAAAGGAACTGATGCAGATTTAAGACTCCACTATTTCCCGCTAACCACCCTTAGTTTTCTAATCCGTTATTGCTGATGATCAACTTCAAAGATTCACGAAAACTCACATCGAAGAGGTGATCTAGCCAAACTGAGAATATATATTTATGTATATTTTTAACCTGAGAAAATCTGTCGTTCATTTGCATTCTTACACTAGCGCAAATTCACTATCACTAGGAATTTATCATTCTTAGTTAGGGTCCGATCGGTCACTTAACGATTTACTTCAAATATTCATATAATTTATTTAAGAGAAGAATTGTATTCGAGTCGAGCTGAGTTTGCAATCTTTTTTAATGTAGTTCTTGCACAGTTCACTACATCTTGTGGTTATTCTATGGAAATGTTAAGTAAATGGTGACTGGTTAGATATAAAATATTTCGGTATTGGGAAATCCTGTAACCCCAGGCGAAATCCAACCGGAAATAAGAAGATATTATCGGTAGCTTCTAGTGGGCTCTCTCATTCAAACTGAACTTTAAGAGAAGAATTGTATTCGAGTCGAGCTGAGTTTGCAATCTTTTTTAATGTAGTTCTTGCACAGTTCACTACATCTTGTGGTTATTCTATGGAAATGTTAAGTAAATGGTGACTGGTTAGATATAAAATATTTCGGTATTGGGAAATCCTGTAACCCCAAGCGAAATCCAACCGGAAATAAGAAGATATTATCGGTAGCTTCTAGTGGGCTCTCTCATTCAAACTGAACTCTAGTAACGTGTCGGTTCTTAAGTTTCATAATACCTGAAAATAATAAAGGTAATGAAAATAAATAAATAGATTAAAAAGGAACACATGTGTTTTAACTTGTTTACAATTGTAGTTTTTAGTTTTGTTCAGACGCAAAATGATTTTGTTGTGTACTCATGTACTAAATTGATTTGCAATTCGTATTTTCCATCTCATTTTTATTATTCTTATTATTATTATATGTCATTTCATTAATTTTCTCTTTCACTGAATTATAGATATTTTTGTTTCTTCGCACCAGATAGAGGCTACTTTACAAAGCGCGATTCTGATAATCACAAACATCTTAGCGTCGATAACGTTTCCTTCGCGACTTTTCAGTATTTGCTACCAGTGCTCGACCGTATCGAGGAAAAAGTTTGCTTCTTTTTTTGTGAC